AAAATGCGGGAGAGTTGGCACGTCTGCAATATAAATAAATTGTTAAAATTATACAAATTATTATTCTAATTTGAAGTTACTTTATTTTTTAACATTTTATTAAAAAAGTATCTTGTGATTTGTTCTTCAATTTTCTTAAAATTTATTCAACAATATCTTAAATTTATTCAAAAAAGTATTACTTAGTAATCTTTGTTCATAGAGTAAATATGCTTAAAAAAAGTTGTAATAACCTACATGTGAAAGCTATATGAAAACAGCTCAATTTTTGCTCATCTACTGCAAAACTCTATTCCCTATACTGTGCTGCAACAGCAAATTTAACATAAGTGACAAAAAATCCGTAATTCAGATTCATTAATTAGTAATTATTAATTCATTTGTATTTTAATGAAGAGTAAATTGAACATGGACAATTTACATAATAATGAAACGAGGAAGTTTCAAAGTTTTTAGCACATGTTTCAATTGTACAATGTTTTAACCATTTGTTACTCAACAAGCATCTAAGCGGTTGCCAAATTTGTCCCACATATGAAACGACCCAAACGCGTGTGCACCTAATGTCTAGCGACTGTACTGCTATTACCACTACATAAGTTGTGATAAGCAAAACTTTGAACTTACTTGTTACTTTTGTAAGTAGACTTCCTGTCCAATTTATGTTTTATGAAATTTAAATTAATTTATATGAGTAATTTTTTTTAAAAAACTCTACATATTAAAACTTGATATATTATTACAAAGGATGCAGAAAGAAAATTATTATGTCATAATTGTGTTTCCTTAGAATATTATTATAATGAAATTATTTGCTGTTTTTTGATTATAGGTTGAACAGTTTATCGATCACATTCAGCCTTCTGTTATTAACAATCAAATATTTCCAAACATTGCCCAGGGTTTCTTAGATACCAACCCAACTATAAGAGATCAAACAATAAAGGTATTTGTTTTTGTTTTGTTGGTGTTATTTATTGATGCATGACATTTTTTCTTACTCATTGTAACTATAATTGAGCTATATTGTTATTTAGTATAAAATTGATCTGCGACTTTTAAATTATTTTTTGACTTATAAAATATCTAAATGAGTGTAAAGATTTAATAATCAAAAAAATTATTCCCTATAGATATTAGGGTGAGTTGGTTTGAATAGTAAAAAATTAATTCTTAAAATAATTTTGATTTAGATAAATTCAAAAGGTTTTTTGTCAATGAATTTTAAAAAATCAATTTATTTATTTAGTAAATTATTTACAATTTCATGAAAAAATATTGTTCTGCCATGTATTAATTTTATGTATTTTATTTTGTTATAAATATATATGCATTTTAAAAATCTTGTTGAAATTAACAGATTTAGTAAATTCAATAGCTTGAAATTTTTTTTGTGTGGTTCATTTAGCGCATTTGCGCTGTTAACTTTAAAAAAACTCTCTGCCGCATCTTTGTCTTTGTGAAATTATAAAGGTTATTATAGTCACCAACCAATAAGAGTTGAGGTATAAGACTTTGATTTAGTTGGAGAAATAAACTTTACATTTTTATAATAAAACACTCATTTTTGATTATCTATAAGATTTTAGCAAGACACCTCAATTTTGAATAGTTAATAGTCTGGATAATAATTATTTTAAATCTGAGCTTTCAGACTAATTTAATATGAGGTCAAAATAATTTGTGATGATCTATTTTCTACAAAATTTTAATAAAAATGCTTGTAAAAACTAATAATTTAGGCATTTTTGTTGTTCCCATTTTCTCATGAAAAATTTCAGATTTTTCACATGCATAAAATCCCTGGCCGTTTAGCTACAATTTTTTTTAAAACATAAGTTAGTATATAAATTTACTTATTATATATATTAGTATATAAATTTAAGAAACTTTATTACAAATTTAAATTAAATATTGCTAGAAAGGGTTATGAACAAACTGATACTAGTTGTGTTTTTAATGCAACAGTAGTGTAAGAAATTTATTTATATTGAATAAACTTTTATGAGTTGTTCAGTGCTTCTTAAATAAAATTATAGTGGAAACTCAACTGTTAAAACTTTTTGCCCTGAGCAAAGTAATTATTAAAGTAAATATAGTATATTTTATTATCCTTTTGCACTAAGTTTTCCTTTATTATACTTAATTAGAGCAAAATACATATGTTTTAGTTCTACACCTTTTAAAAAATAGTTTGATATTTTATAGACTTTTCCAGAAATTATCCTGATTTTTATTGATAGATGTTTTTTTCTTTGTGTGTGTAATGAGGCCTGTATTAATTTTTTGTATTTCTTTTTTAAGTGCATGATGTATTTAGCCCCTAAGCTGAACTATCAGAACTTGAATGACGAGATGTTGAAACATTTTGCTCGCCTTCAAAGCAAAGATGAACAGGTAGGGCTAAAAACTTTTTATATTAAGTAAACATTTTGTATTGCGATTTGCATTCTATTCTGTGGTATAATGTCAGTAATTATTGATATTTCACGATATATTATAATATTTTTTTAATTTAACTAATTTATTTTTAAATTGCTTGAAATTTTCTTAACCCAAATAAAATTTAATGGCACAGTAATATCATATTCATCATTGTTATCAACAACACTTGCCATCTTGATTTTTAATGTAGAATATTGCCTTCAATTTAAAATAATCTTCTTGCTATGTTTAGAAAATATTAATATTTCACTATAGATTTATATATTACCCTGCCCTATTGAATTCTATGTAACACTGTTTTATGATCTGTAGCTGTTTACTCAAAGTTTTGTAATCTTCTACAAAACTTTAAGAATTGAAACCAATGAACTTAAGATAAAATGTTGTCAAATTTTCAAAATGGGGTCTTCTAATTTGGTTATTATAATATGTACTATTGTAATATGTATTTTATATGTACTATAAAAATATAATTTTGATTTGAAATGCTAAACAATTGAAACAATCAAATAAATTTGAAATAGTATTAGTAAAATGGAATAAAAATAAATACAACTGATTTTTTTGAAATCTATTTTTATTTAAAAAAGCATTGATTATATTTATCTTATGATTTAGGGCGGAATTAGAACAAATACAACTGTTTGCCTTGGAAAAATTGCCTCTTATCTTCACCCTCAAGTGAGTAACAAAAAAATATTATTTTAAGAAAAATTAAAAATACTTTATTTAAATGTTTACTGAAACTTACTTCTGTTAGAAAACTTTCAATGTATTGTAATATTTTATTCTATATTTTACATCACTTTCAATATTACATTGCAATTTAATCACAGCAAAATGCAACGCATGTAGTCAATATTATTGATATTAATTTGTTTTACCTCTTATTGTAATTGATACATCTCAAACTAAACTAAACTCAGTGGCGCGACAGCCCATAGAAGGTCAAGGCCTACTGTGGCCATCTCAGTTTTC